ATTGAAAAATCTTATTAGTTATAATATATATTTGAAAAATAAATATTAAAAACCCCTCATTCTTTATATAATGAAAACTATGAAAAGCACAACTCAACATTGTCTTGACTACCTGCTTGCTAAGAATATGAAGAAGGTTCTAGCTTTTCAAACAGTGGAGCAAACCTGTCCCCAAAGCAGTACCAGGATTTGGGGGGAAAAGGAGTCATGAGACTTCCATCAAAAAGAGGGCATGGGTTTAAAAGGCTTAGAAATATTAGTTTGGAGACCTGGAAGAAACATACTAAATTCACTTTTTTGAGACTAATTCACTGGAGGAATATCAAGGCTATACATATTTAAAATAAACACAGAAACCCAAAAAACACTTTCCAGCTGTGAGGGCAGAAATCCATAGAGTAGAATCATTAATGGAAAATAAAATCCAAATCCAAACAATAACAACACAGATTCAACTGACATAGTTTTAATTTTGAGAGGAAATTGTGAGGATGCAACCAATTACGCTAATGCCCTTGATGCTTAACGGAGACGTACATCAAACTTATATTACAAAAGACACTTTGATTAAAAGAGATGTTGCTCAAGTATCCAAGGTATGTATCTGTGGTACTTGAGAAATTAATAAAATCAGCTCTAACTTCTAGAAAAACAAGTGGTAGCGATTGTCAAGAACTGTGCAGTGTCTGAGATTTTATTTGCAAGGTAACAAGTTATCCTATTACTGTTTCATAAATGCTGGCAAAAGACACAAGACTCCAAAGTCAGAGATAAAGGACTTTATTACTCACAGCACAGCCATAGCAAAAGCTTCAGCATGGTTTTTTGCATCAGTTTCCCTTGTCTCCCAAATCCTATGAGGGTGGCACAGAGTCTATGATAGATGCCTACACGTGCAGTGGGCTGTGTTAAAGTAGAGGACCACCAAGCTTTGGGGACTCACTGTTTTATAGCAAGAAAAAGAAAACCTGATCTTTGTCCACAGGTAGACATTACCTTAATCCTCAAGGTTTCTTGTTGCAAATATAACCCTGAGAAATAGCCCACATAAAAAAAAAAAACAGTCAGAACTTGGCATTCTTGGCATACCCAGTAAGAACATTCAGGGATGCTAAGGGCCCAGAGGAAGTTGCGTCTCCCAACAGTGGTTAGTGATGGGCAAAAACAAATGGATAGTGAGGAAAAAACTGGCTTTCCCTGTGCTGGAAGAAGTCTTACAAGAGACACTTAGGATAAAAAGGCAATCAGTTAACAAAGCCCCCTACAAATTATGCTTAATGATTACTTCTTTAGCTGATAACTGGAATTGGGGTTTCCTTTTTACTTATTAAGGAAGAAAAGAGAGATAGAAGATATTATCACAGGGACAATGTAAATCTCAAAGAATTTGTGGTAACTGGAGAAGGGTTTAGAAAGAACTTCTAGAGGAAGAGGTACCTACAACAGTGGCACAAGAAAATAGAATAGGGCCATCTGGCTGAATGAAATGAAAGAAATAAGAGTAGATGACAACCTAAATATTTCCTTGGTACTATTTGTGAGGACAGTCTCTAAGGTGACCCCCATGAATCTTACCTCCTGGTATTCATGCTTTGCGTAATCCCATCTCCTTGACTGTGAGTGGATCTGTGACTTGATTCTAATCAACAGAATACGGCAAAGGTGATGAGAAGTCACTCCCATTATTACATTACATTATATGACTCTGTATTCTAGCACACTTGCTCTAGAGACTCTCCTTTCTGGCTTGATGAAGCGGCCATGTTGGGAAATCCCACAAGGCAAAGAACTGCAGGTGGCCTCTAGAAACTGTAGGTTGCCTTGAGATACTGCGAGTGGCCCTGAGAGTGGCCTCCAGTTGACAACCAGCAAGAAGCCAGGGCTCTCAGTCCTACAACTGCAAAGAAATGAATTCTGCCAAAAACCTGAGTGAGTTAGGAAGAAGATTCTTCCCCAGCCAAGCCTCCAATTGAGAATGCAGCCCAGACAATCTCTTGACTGCAGATGGACCGAGCTGGACTCCTGATCCAAAGAAACTGTGAAAGAATAATTGTATGTCATTTTAAGCTACCACATGTGTGATAATTTGTTACACAGTAACAGAAAACTAATACAATGCTGTAGTCATGATGGCAAGAGAAGTGTTTGTTAAGAGGTGGGCAGCATGGAATTTGTCACTTGCAAGACACGCCTATTCTCTGTACAGCCTCTGCTTAAAGTGCAGTGAGATTTTTTACAAGAGTAAGAAAAAGTAGGAGGAAGAGAAGACTGCTCCGCAGCATGATCTAGGGAAGAAATCGGGAAGAAGTCATCTAGGGAACATTTATCTCTCTGCTGATTCTATAAAGATATATATTTCTATAAAACTGTGGAGAGTCTGCAGCCCTCCTAACAGGCTGGAACCACCTCATCTTGCCCTTATATGCTTTCACTGGCTTCTTCATATGGGAGTGGCAGATACTTATAAAAGGCTTAAAATGTAACAGTGGTCTTGAAGAACATGTCAGATTTGGGGGGCAGGGGGCTGAGGGAAGGTAGGAATAAATCAAAAGAAACTTCTGAAAAGGCAAGCAGGAAGAAGCAACCAAAATCAGTGGGTTTGATAGAAAAAGGAATTTTCAGATTTTCTTGGAGTTCAGGAGGGAGGAACAATTGGGATAATTCCCATTGCTTTACACAGAGCAAGTGATCAATAAATAATTGAATAAATGCTGCAAAGATGATTGGGGAAAGCAAAAGGTTTATTTGAAATTACAGGGTCAGTACCCTTTCTCTAATTCAAAGTGGGTCAGACGGGGCTGAGAAGACCCAATCTTCAGAATTTCTTTCTGGAGTCACAAGTTCATCATATCTGCTCTGTTTCCTCAGAGGTGCAGCCTGAATGGTGAGTTGGGTTTAGCAGATAACCAATACAACAGGACTTTGGAATTTAGACAGTTTGCATACCACATCACATTTCTCTTGGATGTATGCCACTGTATAGCAGTAATTAGTAGTAGAATTGCTAGATCATATGACAATTCTTTTTAACTTTTTTTAGGAACCACAAAATATTTTCCACAGCAGCTCTACCATATTACATTTCCACAGCAGCTCTACCATATTACATTTCCACCAGCAATGGAAATTTCTCCACATCCTCACCACGTTATTTTTTTTTTTTTTAAATAGCCATCCTAGTGGTATGAAGTGATATTTCATTGTGGTTTTGATTTGCATTTTCCTAATGACCAATGATGCTGAGTATGTTTCTCATGTGCTTATAGACCATTTGTGTGTCTTCTTTGGAGAAATGTCTATTCATGTCCTTTGCCAATTTCTGCATTAAGTTGTCTGTTTCTTGTTGAATTGTAGGAGTTCTTTATATATACTGATATTAATCCTTTATCAGATATATGATTCACAAATTTTTTCCTACATTCTATGGGTTGTCTTTTCCCTCTTTAGATGGTATCCTTTTGTGCATGAAATTTTTAAAATTTTGATGAAGTCCAATTTATCTATTTTTTTCTCTTGTTACCTGTGCTTTTGGTGTCATATTTAGGAAACCATTGCCAAATCCCAGGTCATAAATATTTTCTCATGTTTCCTTCTAAGAGATTTATAGTTTTATCTCTTGTCTTAGTCCATTTTATGCTGCTGTAACAGAATACCTAAGATTGGGTAATTTATGAAGAACAGAAATTCATATCTTATGGTTCTAGAGGCTACGAAGTCCAAGATTAAGGAGTCCACATCTGGTCAAGGGCTTCATGTGGCAGCATCCCATGACAAAGGGAAGAGCAAGAGAGAGTGAGAGAGCAAGGGAGCCAAGCTTGCTTTTTATAACAAACCCACTGCAATAACTAACCCACTCCCAAGAAAATGACATTGATCTATTCACAAGGGCAGAGCTCTGAAGACCTAATCACCTCTTCTTAGGCTCCACCTCTGAACACTGTTGCATTGGGGATTAAGTTTCCCAACACATAAACTTTGGGAGACATGTTCAAACCATAGCAGCTCTTAAACTTAAGCAAATATACATTCTTGCTTCTGCCTCTCCTTGATAGTTCTTCCCAAATAAAATTTGAAAAAGAGATTTCATAATTACAACCTTGGTCAAATTGCTTAATCTAAGTCTCATCTTAGAACGGGATAATTTCACAAAACTGTTATAAGAATTATAGGAGATGTTTAAACATACCTAATATACTGCCTAACACATTGGTGTTCAATAATCCTATATATCCCTTAGTCCTTCATCCAAAGGATTTTCCCTCCAGGACCTGCCAAAGTCAGTCATTCCACCTGATCTTACTGCTTCCTTCTGGATGGTCAAGCCCAGGGGCTCAATCTCCTATCTTTGCTTCAGAGGCCTCACTGGTCCTCATCCCTCCCTGGGTCCTGTGCTCTTATAGCAGTTTCTGCCTCCACTGAAATCCAGCTTGGAGCCAAGTGGGCTACCACAGAAAGAAAAATCCCAGTGGGGGTCGGAATGGGGGAGAATGGAAAGAGGCCGCAGCCTCACAAGGCCCCCACCGCTTGACCATGTTGGGGGAAGACAAGTGAGGGCACATCAAGCCCCACAGGGAGGTCATGGCCAAAGTCCTTGCGGCTATGGGTAGTCACTCACGGGTGGAATGGCAGGATCCCTCCCTCTACCCTGTCAGAGGTTCCTTCCAGACAGTTGTAGGGCACAGTCTAAGACCCTACTTTTCTAGGGTGTCCTCTGTGGGGTCCCTCAGCGCCGCGCAGGCTCCTGAGGCTTCCCTTTGTTCCCAGAGGCTCTCCCATTGAGCCAACTCCAAGGACCACCCTTGCGCTTGCTCTCCTAGTTACACACGTCTCCTGGGGACGGTGCCCTCCCCACTGGGGGTCCCCATGGCAGCAAATGCAGAGAGAGCTCTGGGAGTCTCCATTCACACAGGAGTCCTCGTGGAGGCAGCTCCCCACACCACTTAAGGGACTTTCCCAACGGGTAGAGGCAGCAGTCCCTCAGGATTCATCCACTGACACAGGGGCCACCTTGGAGGCGGCTCCCACACAAGCACCTCAGAGTCCCTGCAGGACTGTCCGCAGACCAGCCCCTTAGGGTGCAGCCCTGGTCCTCGCTGCCCCCGCCCCCGCTTACCCGGACCGTCCGGTGCGGGACGCGGGTCCGGGGCAGGCGGAATCTGCACCACAGACCCCGCGCTGCCCTGGGCAGCTGTGGAGCTGGCGTGCTGGGCCGAGCGCCGGCAGCAGGCGGCGCGGGCGGAGCGGCAGGCAGACGCGGCGGCGGCGGCGGCGGCGCACACTCAGCCCCGCCCCCCTGCGCCGGCGACCTGGCCCTAGTGGCTCAGCCCGCGACCGGCGCGCGGGCGTGGGACGCTGTGGGAGCGCTGGAGGGTGGTGGCCGGCTCGACTAGCTGTCAGCCCAGGTGCGAGTCGGCGCCCCCCGGCAGCGCCCGGCACTGCAGCTCAGGGACTGTGTCAGCCGGCCGCCTGCGGCAAGGTCAGTGCTCGCCCAAGGAGGCGGCCCCGGAGGGGTCGCTGCGGGCGCCCTTGGGCCTCTCACCGCCCCCTGGTCCGCGCCTTCCTGGGGAGGTGAGAATGACTCTTCCAGCGACTTTGTCCCTCAGGCTCTCCCACCAAGCCAAGCTGCCCGCCCAGGCCTCCTGGCTTACGACGCTGGCACTGGGACACTTTCTGCAGTACTCCACTGGCCTCTGGAGTGTCCAAATGGCCCAACTCTTCCTGTGCTCTGTTTTGTGAGATTATTGGTCTTCCATCTCCAGCAGCAAAGCTGTGCTGTCATAACCCACTTTTTGCTGAGGCAACCTTAGACTATCCAAACAGCAATTCCGAGGGCTATAAAGTGCATTAAACCAAACTAGGTGCTTTGAGGAAAGTGAGAGTAACAAAAAGAATATCAAAAGCCATTAAGCCACTAACAGCTAATTATAAAGCAATAACGGAAGAAATACAAATGATGTGCTGAAGGCCTTTTTATTTAAATTATTTTATTTGTGTATTCATATTTTATGTATATTAAAATGTACTTTTAATATACTTGTGTTTCCACACAAGGAATTCAATTTCTATATCACAAAAACAATTTACTTCATCGTGTGGGGGATACAAGCAGAAACTCATTTTTTTCTTACCATCATGAAACTTACCACTGTAAGGTAAGTAAATATAGTACTTGCTATGGTTTGAATGTTTGTCTCCTCCAAAACTCATTGAAATTTAATTGCCCTTGTAACAGTATTAAGAAGTAGGACTTTTAAGAAGTGATTAGGCCATTAGGGCTATGCCATCTTGGATGAGTTTAATGCCTTTTAAAAAGGGCTTTCAGGAGTGGGTTTCCTCTCTTAGTTCTGCTCTTCTGCTATGTGAAAAACAGCACTCCTCCCCTCCAGAGAATGCAGCATTGGAGGCACCATCTTGGAAGTGGAGACAAGCCCTTACCAGACACCAAACCTATTGGTGCCTTAATCTTGACTTCCCAGCCTACAGAACTGTAAGAAATAAATGTCTGTTCTTTATAAATTACCTAGTGTCAAGTATTGCTATCACAGCACAAAATGAACTAAGTACTTTTAAACACAAAATGTCAGGGACCGTATACTACATACATATATTAAATCATTTAAACTTCACAACCTCACCATGAAGTTCCATACTTTCATTGCTTCCATTATATATATATTTTTTTGAGACAGAGTCTCTCTCTGTTGCCCTGGCTAGAGTGCCATGGCATCAGCCTTGCTCACAGCAACCTCAAATTCCTAGGCTTAAGCGATCCTCCTGCCTTAGCCTCCCGAGGACCTGGGACTACAGGCATGCACCACCATGCCCAGCTAATTTTTTCTATATATATTTTTAGTTTTCCAGCTAATTTCTTTCTATTTTTAGTGGAGATAGGTCTTACTCTTGCTCAGGCTTATCTTCAACTCCTGACCTCGAGTGATCCTCCTGCCTCGGCCTCCCAGAGGATTACAGGCGTGAGCCACCACGCCCGGCCTTCCATTATAAAGCTGTAGAAACTGAGGCACAAAGGGATTAAACAACATGCCTAAAGTCAATAGATAATATGTGGAATCTAGGTATTCTGACTCTAGAGCCCATACTCCAAATCAGGTTGTACTGTACTGCCTCCAGGATCACCTTTAGAATGTGCTGGATCCCGGATCAATATTTTTGCAAGGACCCTGATTATGTAAACAATTTCATTATTAATAAAATATCTAGGCTGGGCACAGTGGCTCATGCCTGTAATCCTAGCACTCTGGGAGGCCGAAGCAGGAGGATTGCTTGAGCTCAGGAGTTTGAGACCACCCTGAGCAAGAGTGAGACCCTGTCTCTACTGAAAATAGAAAAATTAGTAGAGCATGGTGGTGCACACCTGTAGTCCCAGCTACTCAGGAGGCTAAGACAGGAGGATCACTTGAGCCCAGGAGTTTGAGGTTGCTGTGTGCTAGGCTGACGCCATGGCACTCTACTCTGGGCAACAGAGCGAGACTCTGTCTCAAAAAAATAAATAAAATAAAATAAAATGTCTACTATAAAATTCATGGCCCCCAATAAGGTGTAATGTTTTATTAATGAAGATTTAAGATAATGGTTAGAGAAGTGGTACATACTTATTTGTTTACTGCCACATCAGTGCACATAGGCTTTTTGGTAGTGTCTAGACATTGTTTCTTGCTGTTTAGGTTCCATCTCTTCCTGTTTTCATTGTCAGATGTGCCATTCCTGGCCAATTGCATATCTTTCACATAACAAGAAATAATTGGTGCTATTATTACTCACAAGTCCATGGCTCTTCAGAACCTATTTGTCTAGAGATAATGTAGTTCTTCTGGCCTCTGTAATTTCCTAATACCATTTATTTAATGCTAATTACATCGTTACTTATTACACTGCATTATCCATCTTGCCACCTGTGAATGCCGACTTCTAAAGACTTTCTCAATGATTGTTGCTGTATTTCATTAATAATGACCACAAACGCAAGTCTTACCCAGAGGACACGGTGAAATGTGGCTGATAATTTGTTTTCTGGATTGTTAAATTTACCGTTTGGAATTTTATAATGTAAATGTAGAACAACATGCCTTCCAACTATGTCTGTTCTTGAATTCTTTTAGGCCATAATCACTGCATTCCTACAATGATCTCTTTCAATGTTGACTGTACCCTTTACCTTGCATTGCCACTAGGAGGGAGAATAGGTGAGCGACCATTGGCTGAGTGAGAAGAGCATTCCCATTCACAGAGGACATCCACCACTCTTCCTGCATGGCTTAAAATCAATCAGGGAACACCCCTTTATGATAACACACTCAACAAACTAGGAATAGAATGAAACTTCTTCAACCTGATAAAAGATGATGCTAATAGCAGCATTGTACTTAATGGCAAAAGACTGAATGCTTTCCCCCTAAGATCAGGAACAAAACAAGGATGTATGCTCTCACCTTTTCTATTCAACATTGTACTGGAGGTTCTACCTAGGGTTATTAGGCAAGAAAAAGAAATAAGAGGCTTCCAGATTAAAAAGGAAGATGTAAAACTATATTTGTAGATGACATAATCTTGTATATAGAAAAGTCAAAGGAATCCCCTTAGAAACTGTTAGAACTAATAAATGAGTTCAGCAAGGTTACAAGCTACAAGATCAATATACAAAAATCAATTTTATTCTTATACACTTGGAATGAACAATCTGAAAATGAAATTTTTAAAAATTCCATTCTTAATAGCATCAAAAAAATAAAATACTTGGGACTGCAAATTAGTGCAACCTCTGTGGAAAAGAATTTGGAGATACCTCAGAGAGCTAAAAATAGAAATACCATTTGATCCAGCAAT